AGGTGATTGACAGCAACTTCTTGGCCAAATGTGTTTGACTGCATCAGGGTTTTAACATACAGTATTCCCCAATTGCTCAATCACTGCCTTAGTCGCGGTTCTAGCAAACTTCAAATTGGCTGCAAAGTACATAGCTGTCATTTCTTTAATCCCAAGCTGGCACAAATGCATCCAGCACCACTAAGAGACAAGAATAAACAATTATAACCATTCTTCTTCTATACAGTAAAGATGCCGCTTTTACATCGGTAATCTGAACGTAAGCTCTCTCACGTTGGTATTTTTTTTTTCAGATAAAAGGAAGCAAGTAGTTTATTCAACAGGAAGCATCTAGTGTAGTATAAACGATTTGTGTCTAAACGGCAAACCGTTCTTGTGCGATCAGTGTAAGTTGGCTACAGGATGCACAGCAGTGCAGCAAGGGTAAAAGAGAGTTCAAAGAGCGACTGAGGAACGGAGGGATGTTCAATCTTACCTCGAAGGGGGTGACGATGAGGAGCGCCTCGATGACGCCAGCGCCGAAGCCGGAGGCGAGGCGGCCTTGCGCGGAGACCTTGCCCGTGGTGGGGTCCTTGAACGCGGACTGCAGCACGGCGTTGGAGCCGAGGCGCAGCGCGTACTTGAGGGTGAGGTGCGTGGCGAAGGGCGTGAGCCCCTTCCAGAGCGCGCGCACGCCCTCGGCGCGGGCCACGGTGGCGCCGCAGTGCGCGATGCCCCTGTAGGCCCCCGTGCGGTCGAGCTGCAGCCGCGTCTTGACGACGTCGATGGGCTGCAGGCAGCACGCCTCCATGACGCCGCCCAGGGACCCCGCCGCCGCCTTGACGTAGGGCGGGACCGGGGGCCGGCCGCCTCCGCCTGCGCGGCGCTCCTCGGACGGGGAAGCCGCCCCGGGCGACGCTGCTGCGGCCGGCGGCGGCGGCGGCTGAGGCGAGGAGGCGGTCATTCGGGAAGCGGCGGCTGCCTTACCGGGTTTGGCGTGGAGGAGCGGATCGGGCTCTTCTTTCACTTTTACCGCATCTCAACAGCGAAGGACCCGGAAACTAGCGGCGCGGGTTATATAGGAATCGGCGCCACCACGCCAGGCTCAGAGATGCGTCCGCGTCTCCGCTTCCGCTCGTGCGGTCGGCGACCACCTGTACTATACGTGGGCCCACTTGCTAGTGGCGGGGAGTAGTACGCGCAGGCTGCAGGAGCTTAGGCACAGCCGGCTGCCACTTCTAGCTCTAGGGAGGACTGCGCCACCTACCGCCGAATCCCGTATTCCTCGGCGTCCGTGCACATGTGCTCGTGTCGTCAGTCGTCAGGCGGGCATCGCGTTCTGCAGGCTGGCAGAGACGAGGGCAGATGGAGTGATCGCTCCATTCACGGCTCTCCGCTTGCTCTGGCTGTTAATGTGATCCCAGATGAGAGGAGAGCCGCGTGAAAGCACAATGCGTGATCCATGCGTCTCAGCTACTCCTAGTAGAAGCATGTCTGCAGCGTGCTTACCCTTCCAAAAGGTAAATTTCGAAATAAAAAATATAATTAACTAAATGATACTCTTAGTTCTAAATTACAAGACGTTCCTCTGTCTTTCAATTTTTGTAGCCTGCCTTCTTTGTTGTAGTGAATGATTTTTCTTAATATATGCTGTCAGTAAAGGCACCTTACCCCTCCTGTTTTATTTAAAATTATAAGACGTTTTGTCTTTCCTAGATGTATTATTTTAATTACACATCTAAACATATTATATATATCTAAGTGTATAATGAAAGCTATAAATCTAAAAAAGCTAAAACGTCTTATATTTTAGAAATATCTCGGTTGGATAGCTTCAGCCAAAGACCTGACAAACGTATCAAACTTGACATGGACGCTTGTCTTTTTGGTTTATTTTAATAGACGGTTCATCCTTTAATAACTCGACGTTTAAGATGATTTCATTCTTTAGAAATAGGGTCTTGCGTGTGTATACACATAGGTGACTGAGTAGCATGATTTGTCCCAAAGAAGCGAGGAAAATAGGGGACTCTACTTGTTATCATTTTTATGTTGTCAGTTTGCTCCTGGACAAATAAATGTTGATTTCTTTTGATATATGACTTTGAGCACTTCCGTTATCTGCTTTATAATATGATCACCTCTCATCAGTTGTTAGATCCATGAAGGCTAGCTTCCTTTCATCTGAACGTTATCAACTCCCTCTGTCCCACTTTGTGTGTCGCTGTGACAGCCGGTATCTTTGTCCACGTTCAAACCTTGTGCCGTGTACCTAGACCATCTCTCTGTCCACATTCATTTAATCTATGATGTACCTTGTCAGAAGCTAAATCGACTCTGATAAAGGGATAGAGGGAGTAAATGTGTTTAGCTCAAGGAACGATGAGGGATAATTAAGATGGGTCAATCTTCAGTCTGTTCGCTTGCTCATATACGATCGTGGATTATAAGCTGGAACAGTATTTTTCTCTCGTACCAAACCAGCCAGCAGTAAATAATCTACGATCGTTTACGACGAAACAAACAGGCTGCTTATTTTAGGGGATGTTTGGTTCAGGAGTGCGTTGAGAATTGAGATAGATCTGTTAATGTACGCTCCCTTTAATAGTTGCAGGTCGTCCCATCCCTGATCCCTCTGTGAAGGAGACGGCTTCATCCCTCTTGAACGTCGTGGCTCCTCTATCTGTGCCTGAGCTCGGCGCTCCTTCCATCCTCGACAATCCTCAGCTCGTGGATGAGCTAACATCCGGGGTAGGCTCATGCGCTCTCAACCGAGCTCGTGGTAGGGGCAGGGTCCTCTGTCGTGGGCGCACTTGCGGCATCAACCAAACCAAATAAAAAAACACAAAGATAAATCCATCCACAGGGTGGACTGGCGGAGCCAGGGCAAGTGTTGCCCATGGTGTAGCACCCCTTATGAGCCAATAAATATGCTTTAGCAGTACATGTATTTTCAGCAAGACTAATAACTGTTTACGCTTATTCAGCACTACTTCTCAGTCATGAAATAGTGTTTTCCTCTCACATTATTTCAACATAAGTATCAGCCTAAGCCAAATTTCAGTATAAGCGAACAGGTGTATTTGGGAAGCTAAATTCAAACGTTTTAGCATCAATGCCGCTAGAACAGCATAAAGGACACCTTTAAGACAGTCTTAGCTCCGCCCCTGCATCCACCGAAACAAAAATGAGATAGGACGATCTCATTCTGTCTCGTACTGGTACATTCGCTATCAGTTCTCACTTCTCGGTATGTTCTGCTTCTACCATTTTCGGGTGGAAAGCAAAAGCATCAGCAAGACTGGCAGGCTTGGACACGCTTCTCTGGGAGTCTGGACAACACGACTGCACAAGGACCTCGTGCGGGGCCCGTATAGCGTGGATACTTGGGCCGGGATTAGGCCTGGGAAGGCGACTCGGGGGCCTTGTTCTAGGCTCACGCGGCACGTGGGTATGGCTCTATTTGATCTAAGGACTAACAGTCAGTTGATTAATTTTAAGCTCAAAGATCCAAATAAACAAACTAATGGTTAATTCACCAGTTATTATGGACTAGTTGTTAGTCTAGTAGTCCACAAATATAAACTAACATGACTAGTTGTTAGTCTCATGGATCCAAGCTAGATTGAATACGAGCTATTTTTTGTGTTTTTACTCTGTGGTATGCTACGTTTTTTCTCTATCGGACTTTGCGGTATCGTGGAAAGTCGACATCAACAATCTGCAGTATCATATTGGCCAGAAAATTAGGGCAAAGACAATGTGTCTTGCCCAACTCATTCGATAAAAGGGTGGGGGTCTATTGATACGAGTAAAATTAGAGTTTTCAAGAAAAATGATTTTCACCTACGTGTGGGGCGTATGGGTAACCACTTATAAGAGCAATTTCACTGATTACCGTATCTCCTTTTCTTTCATTTGGTAATAAAGGGGATTGAGAAAACGAGATTCTAAGTAATCGAGAATGTATGCTGCAATAGATTAAACAACATCACTATTATAGTATATTAGGATATCTCTAGATACAGTAGATTATAATCGTGTAATCCCGGCTTGCCTTATCTCTAAGAGAGGTTTCTTGCCTTATCCTAAATTTATATCTAAGTTGTCCACTCTACCATTATGAAAGATAATGCAAAGTAACCTCCTAATGCTTTGAGTTACCTACATAAAAGGTGATATGAAGTAACTCATTCAGTTTGTATTTAAATTGCCCCCTCCACCATTATAAAAAGTAAACTAAAATATATCTCAGATCTAAATCTAAATAGTAATATAAGTTATTACAAAATTTAGGCTCCGTTCGCTGGTCTGAAACTTGGCTGAAAAACACGGTTCCGGCTGATTTGTTGTGAGAGAAAAACACTGTTTGACTGATTTGATGAACAGTAACCTATGAGGGGGTCCAGCCGGCTGGCTGAACCAGTCAGACCAGCGAACACCACCTTAGTTCTATAACTTAAAAGTACACTATATATATATATTTTAAATTAAACAATTTTACCACTACTAAATTAAATGTAAGCGTAAATGCTATGTACCAACATAGACCAAGTAAACATATATCTCCTATAACTAAAAAGAATAAAACGTGGATATTTTTTTGATGCGACATTTGTTTTGGTTCGTCCGTCTGCTTACGCCTGCAATCCCGCACACGTCGCTCCCTCGGTCTGCCTTCCCCTGCGATCACCGCGAGTCCACGCTGCACAAAAGGAAACCGCTCATGTGATTCCTCCGCCCACCTCCCCATCGTCGCCCACCCGCAGCTGGCCGCGCTGCTGCCGCACCCGCCCACAGCTCGCCGCGACGCAGCCCGCGCCCGCCCGGAGCTGGCCGTGACGCCGGCTGTACCCACCCTCCTTGCAAGTCCAAAGCTCCCCACGACGGCACAGCCCTGCGGCCGGATCCAGATCGGAGGTACCCCCACTTTCCCCACTTATTCTTCGCGTCACAAGCGGCCCCGGACCCCTCGCCGGATTGGATCTCGCGCTTCGTCGGTGCCGGTGCCGGAGCCGGAGATGATGTCGTCATCGTCGGATGCGGCCGTGGCTCTGGAGCTGCAGGAGTCCGAGTGGCAGGAGCTATGGCGTGAGGCGCGCAAGCTGGAGGGCGACCTCAACGTGAAGCTCTCCTCCTACGTGCGCCTCGCCCGCAACGAGCTGGACGCCCTGGATGTCGGGTTCCGCCACCTGGTCACGAGCATCGGCGTCATCGCCACGCTTGGCACCGGCCGCCCGTCCATTGTCGCGCTCCGGGCCAACATGGACGTGCTGCCCATCCAGGTACGTGCCTGCGTGGTGCTTGTGCCGGCATGTACGTGTTGTTCGTGCTACTCATCATTGAACTAATCTTTTCGATTTCTCTCTTCGTCGGATTCAAATCCGTTTCCAAAATTTGAGGTGTGCTAACAAAAGATTATTACTACATAGTACCAGAAATTATTCCAATCGTGGCAAATTATTAATTTTCTAACGATTCATCTGCGGAGGTGCTTGTTTAATTTTGCCGATTTGTTTTCTTGTCCGTGATAGCATTTTTACTTCAAACATGGTGGCCATATCTTTTAATCTGTGTGCTTATAAGCCAAGAATGGAAAGCCACCGCCCATTGCAGTAGTTGTTTGCATTGTTTCTTGTGTTGGATGAGCAGGGAGATTAGGTTTAGTGTATCTATCCCTGGGAACTGCCATGGAGTTGGGTTTTTTGACAAATTTATTAATCCGCGAGATATGGAGTTGCATGCCCTTTTAATTCTTCCCATTCTGTTCATTTCTAGGAGCCCAATTGAGCCTACAGTGCACTTGTATTGTCTTTTCGGCACCTCTGACATGAGCATGGCCTACTACACCTGTATTATCTTTTTGGCACAAAAAAAAAGAAAAACATGACGCATTATGGTGAACGTGAGATGTGATCTCTATTTGCTGTTTTGGAGGCCAAGATATCAAACCATGCACTTGCATTTTCCATGTCTTATTCTCTGGTCAGTATCGAGGTTACTATAATTTTGACCACGGATCTATTTCTCATCTTATTTCAGCGAGCAGTACTCTGGTGAGTTATCAAAGCCATCGGCATACTGTGCTCATGCTCTTCATGCAAAGGCCGAAAAGTGAGTTTTCTCCTCTTCTCCAAAATCACCACCTATTTATCCGAGCTTTGAGGATTGAACCAATGGAACATGAGTTGCATGTTGTTTCACCTTACTACTTTGAGGTACATGCTGGGAGTACCAAAAAGCACCCATCCGACTACTTTTTACTGGAAAATGGAAATAGTCTGCATGATGTATTGAGGGCATGGACAAATGCTACATTAGACATGTTGCGGTCTACAATACGGAAGGCACAAAATGCTACATTAGACATGTTGCGGTTTGCAATACGGAAGACAAAAGGCCCAGCACCTCAGAAGAGAACATTCAGATGCAAAGCCTACAAAAGTTTGTTATTCCTCCCCTCAACCATACCTTGCTCAGCTTGCTTAATTGCTTTATCTTGCACACTCCGCAGTGGGAAATTTACTTTGTTTTGTGATTCGTGTCTTGAGTCCATGGGGGCTAAGAATAATAGCAGGTAACCTTTGTAACAGATATGTCCATTCCATTTTTATCAAATTGAAATATTTTTGGTTGTTTGATTTGTATTACCAGATATAGCCGTAGTGTTAGCATGGGTGATATACTATATATTTTCCAGTTTTCCTGACCATGTGGCCACATAGTGTTCCATTTTTTAAAATTATTGTTTGGTACGTTCTTGCAGAAACTGACTTTATTTGTACAGTTCCATAAATCCATTCACATGTCAGATGATAGTAGAACAATTTTGTAGCACCATTTTTCATGTCTATCATCACTGCACTTTTCAACTGAGCACCTAGACTTTGATGACAAGTATTTGTAGGATGAAATCCTTTTATATATATATATATATATATATATAGAGAGAGAGAGAGAGAGCTTGAATTGAATCCAGAGTTCAATTTGATGCAGTTGTCAGTGGAGGATTTTGAGAATAAAATTCAAGTAAACTCTGCTGCTCCTGATTGCTGCCATTGGCATTTTCCCCTTCTGCTTTCCAGTTGTGATGCCTTCTGATTTCTCTCTTTTTTCTGTTGGATTGAAGAGGGATGCAATAAAGCAAACATACGAAAGGTCGGTCAAAGCTGCTCAAGATTACGGGATCATGAAAGAGAGCCCAGAGTTTGTTTTCTTGTGCTTTGAAAAAAAATGATGCTTTCACTTGGTTTTAGTCGAGAAGCTGATCCCTCTATCTCTCCATGCAGGTCTTTGGCCCGAACATTTGTGCTTTCCTTAATATACGTGTGCCTCTGCCGACCCACCCTGTTCGACGGCGGCACGATGGTATTTTGTTTTTAGAAATTTCCAACAACCAGAATGCTTTAGATGATAATTTGGAAAAAATAAGAAGTTGGATCAGTTAAACCTGTGTGTCTTTTGATGTTTGATGCCTTCAATAATGTTTGTTCTAGGAGTATATTTTTGTCTGTGATGGTCTAACTAAAACCAGTTATTTGAGTAGGAATTTTGGATCGAGAAGAACAAGGGAGGTTTACATATTCTCTACCTGGGTTAACCGAATAATGCATTCCATATTTAGCTATCAGTTTTCCTTATAACATGTTTTGTACATAGGCCAGAAGCTCATCTTTAGTAGATAACACTGGTAACTGTCTAATATAAAGACGACAGTTTCATTTGGCACTAATACTTCATATCAGTATATGAGGATGAAAGGAGATTTTGGATGGAAGTGTCTGTAGACTATTGTCCTTACAGTACTAGGGTAACAGGTTCAATTGTTTGTTGTTATATCTTGCATGAGTATTTTTTTTTGAATTATTGCTCAAGATATGGAAGTGTCAGTTTTCTGCTTATTCTATACACCCTTGTAGTTATTAACTTGCACTGGTAGGATTGTCCCTCTTCCCTTGTAACTCAGAACAAGACGAGAAAGTGCTGACATCATTTCTTCTTCTTGCTCGACACATTCAGGTACTGGAGGTTGCGCAACAGGTCATTGGAGTTCAGGAACACCTTGTTTGGCTATGGCTAAAATCGTGTGAGAGATCTCTGTAAGGTCGAGATGACGACTAGAGGGGGGGTGAATAGTCATTTCTAAAACTTAATCGCGTCCGCTAACCGAAACAAGTGCGGAATTAAACTATCGGTCTAGCCAAGACTACACCCCTCTATCTATGTTCTCTAGCACTTTGCAAATATCCTAATTAAGCAACAAAGGTGCCGAGCTAACTAGAGCTCACCTAACCAATTCTAGGAGCAAGGTCACACAAACCTATGTCACTAGTATTTTAAGCAATGAGGGAGCTCCTACACATGCTAGTAAGCAAAAGCACAAAGCTAACTAAGCTCACTAGCAATGCTCAATAACAAGGCAATCAATGCCAAATTAGAGACCGTAAATATTTAGCTACACAAACTAAGCAAAGTGACTAACAAGATTACACAAACCAAATTAGCCACGCAAGGGAGCTACTTCTATGCTACACAAGCAACAAGGTAACTAGTGAGCTACATAAGCTACCTAATCATAAGAGCAACTACACAAGCATAATGTATATAAAAGTAATCACAAGCTTGTGTAAGGGGATTGCAAACCAACGGGAAGAACAAGGTTGACAAGGTGATTTTCTCCCGAGGTTCACGTGCTTGCCAACACGCTACGTCCCCATTGTGTCGACCGCTCAATTGGTGGTTCGGCGGCTAATTGGCATCACCCGCCAAGCCCGCACGTCGGGCACCGCAAGAACCTACCCCAAAAGTGAGGGTAGCTCAATGACACGCTCAACTAGAGTTGCTCTTCATGGCTCCAGCGGGGCGAGCACAATGCCCCTCACAAACCTCTTCTCCGAAGCACCGCACAAGCTTCTTGCGGGCTTCGACGGAGACCACCACCAAGCCCTCTAGGAGGTGGCAACCTCCAAGAGTAACAAACACCAATGGCTTGCAACTCGATCACCTAGTGCCACTCGATGCGATCTCACAATGCAACGCACTAGAATCACACTCACCCGCAATCGATTCGCACTCTTGCAAGCACAAGTGAGTTAGAGGGTATCCAAGCACTCCTACACAAGCCACATAGGCGTGAGGGTGCCTTGCGCATTCCATTCCATCCCCTCCAATGTCGACGCAACACATGCACCAACATGATCGACAATGATATGATCCACTTCATATCATCACGTGATCATATTGGTTCATCGATCTTGACTTCACTTGCTTTTCATCGTTGCCTTCGTCCATCGGCGCCAAGTCTTGCTCAAGCTTCACCGCCACACGGTCCATCGCTCCAAAGCCTCCGACTTGCCCTTCACGCTTGCAACCGGTCCATCAAGCCAAGTCTTGTCTTGATCTTCTCCACCTTGATCACATGATTCAATGTCGTGTCTCATGTGCAATAAGCTCCTTCATCATCACATGTGTGAGCTTTGCAACATCTCCAAACCATTTTCACCTTCACGACATATGTTGCTCACACACATATACTTGTGGACTAATCACCTATGTATCTCACATAAACACAATTAGTCCACCTAGGGTTGTCACTCAATTACCAAAACCACACAAGGACCTTTCAATCTCCCCTTTTTGGTAATTGATGACAACTCTACAAAGATATGGAAATTAAGCTCTTTTGGATTCATGTTGCTTGCCCAAGCAATTTTACCATGTGTAAATGATTTTGGACAAGTACCACAAACCCAAAATGGTAGTATTAGCTCCCCCTACATATGTGCTAGAGTGTTTGTTTTGAAGCTCGCACATATGCATAGATTGAAATTGTGGGAGAGTAATTACTACTAAATAATGCTAAGGTGTATAAAGTAAACCTTTGAAGCGTGATACCAATCGGAGTTGCACCTTTAAGTTCATCCTAAACACCATGGTTAGCTAGATATCACTTGGAAATAAAATCACTAGATACCTTGTGAGATCAACATTAAAACCAAGGTACTAGCATTACTTGAAAAGCATATCAAGTGTCTAGCTATCATCTTATGTATGCTAGTTTTCATTTCATCAATCAAATTCTACAACTAGCATACCTCACACAAGCATGCATATTGAATTTAAGAACATATGCAATGCAAGCAAGCACATGAATATGCACATATCAAATGTAATCAATCAAAGTTTATGAGCTTGCTCCCCCTATTTGTGTGCTTCTCTTGTCCAAGAATTTTGATCCATCTCTTTTCTTCAATGTTGCTTCCTCTTTGTCCATGTCCATGTCCAACCTCTACTTCTTTGTTTCAATCTCTCCCAAAGCTTTCATATCTTATCTCTCCCCCTTGTACAATCTCAATCTTAAAGCTTTCATATCTTTGTACAACCTCTCCCCCTTTGTCATCAATTTTCATAAAAGGTGTGCTTCTCATTGATGCAAAGGTATGCATTTAGGGTAGATGGTTGAGACTTGAATCTTGCATTTTTATGGACATCATTTAATTGTTGGAATGACACCACTTGTAGATACCACTTGTAACTTGTACCACTTGTATCTTGTGTAGGGCTTCTCGAGATACCATACAAAGGATCTTTGATCTTGATATCAATTTATGTGACACCTCCCCCTATGTGATAGCATGGTTCATCCATTTGATATACTTGAGCTCTTATAGGTGAGGGATGCATTCTTTATTTGATGATCACTTAAAGTTGAGGATCACTTATGGAACCATTGTCTTGCATGATTGATACCACGAGTAGATGTGATACCACTTCAAAGCATTTTCTAGTTT